GTGCCAGATGCATCCACGTCGCCGCAAGTAATTGACTGCTCACTTCAAGCGTTGAATTGTCATGTTCTCATGGCTGTCCTCCCATTTGAGCATATACGTAGCGGTTCATACATATACATCGCCGTGACAAGCGCTCCATCATCTTTCGATCGATGAACCTCTTATCCTTTTCAATATCTCCCGGCCAGGACATATGGCTCATGGAGTTCGGTGGGGTAGTTTGGGCCCCCTCACGGTTTCTTGCTTCGTTCAAAATGGACCGGAACGTAGCCCGCACGAATCCGTATAATCCACCTGTTGGGATGCATTCTCACATGGAGTAGATACTCACGCGGAGTAGATATTAGTCCGCCTATTTCCGCTTATCTTGCCGATTCGCAGTTGTTAGTATTCAGGAGTGATGATCATTTCAGTCACTCCGATGTAGTGTTGCAGTCTTGTCGCCGCACTTTCGGCCTCTGTCACTTGAAGTTTCCAGTTTCTCTTTTCTAAGTCTATTCGCGTGTGTGTGTGTGTGCGTGGGTGCTTCTGTTGGTCGGCCATATCATCGCCTCTTGATATGATCGAGGAGTGCGGGGTGCGCGCGCTTGTCTGCTTGCATGGCGGCACTGCGCCCCACAATCGCACAGCCTCGGCAAGCTGGCAGGTGGCTTCCTCAAGAAGCAACGTTTGGAAGGGGGGTGGAAGACAGACGCATCCGCTTCGGGGGGGGAGGGGGAGGATGAGGAGAGGGAGGAGGAGGAGGAGGAGGAGGAGGAGGAGGAGGAGGAGGAGGAGGAGGAGCAGCAGGAGCAGGAGGAGGAGGAGGAGGAGGAGGAGGAGGAGGAGGAGGAGGATGGGGGGGAGGGAGGAGAGGGGAGGAGGACGACAAGCTAGGTGCGCTCACGCGATATCTGACATCCTCTCCCTCCCACCCATCCTTCCCCATTGCGCTGGTTTTCCTTCAACCGCGGACACGTGTCATGTCGGACCCGGAATTCCAAAAACGACCCCGTCGTTTTATGCGCAATCGGAAGTGGGGAGTTGCGTACAGCAGCAGCAGCAGGAGCTGGAGTAGAAGGAGCGGGAGGAGCAGGAGGACCAGGGGAAGGCGGAGGATGGGAAAGGGGGGGGGGGCGACAACGGGCAAGAGCGTCAGTCTGAACGACGGGAGCAAAGCGCCGATTTATACATGAGGCCAACGCTGCAGCGGCAGCACTATGTGGAGGCATACGCTCCGATGGAACAAAAACAGGAACTCAAACTAATGGAATCCTGTGTGTGAGAAACAATACGCGCAGGGGTGCGGGTTACATACTCCCAGGCCCTCTTCGGGGGCTCGAGGAGAGTAGTATTCAGATTGAGCAATTGTACTGCGGAAGAGGGGGCGTATGAGGAGGAGGACCAGTGTAAACCCAACACGCATCAACGGTGTTGCAACACCCCCCCCTCTAAATTCTCAGATTACAGGTCCTTAAAAGAAGGTGTTTTCATTGCGGGAAGTGGCCCATCAGAAGACAAACCGCCGTTCTGAGAATCTTAAAACGTGCCAGAACACCATTGATTGAACATCAACGCCGCGGATCAGTGTGATTGTTGCGTCCTGACAACCCTAAAGCGCTCCACAGCACGGTTCTTGCCAAACGAGCTCGTTAAAGTGCTGCAGCGCTGTAACTTTGTAAGACGAATGTGCGCGGCGCTAAGGCGAGAGCCACAACTTGAAAAGGAGCCGCTCTCGATCCGTAAAACGGCTGCAAGCGTTTCAGTCGAATGCGTGCGCCGCTAAGGTGGTTGCCACATGTTGAGAACGAGCCGGCCTCCTTCCGCGTGAAGTTGCTGCAAATATTTGGTTTCGGGACCATGCGGCCAGGGAGTCATAGGCGAGCCGCCCGGCCCGCTCTACCGACACGTCTGGGGGTGCGACGGGGAGGAGCTGCTTGTGAGGAGAGGGGATGGAGGAAACGGAGGAGCAGGAGCAAGAGGAGGACGAGGAGGAGGAGGGGGAGGAGGAGGAGCTTCCCAACTTCTTCCCCCCTCCGAGGAAGTAGTATCCTTGGTCTTCTTTCCTCCTCCTTCCTGTCTGTCTGGCGGTCCCCCCTTCTCCTCTGCTGCACGTAAAGATACGTGCGCCGCTGGTGGCCCTTGGAGCGGTGCTCCAGGGGCCACCAGGCCCAAGCTTGATCACCCCCCCCAGGGCCGCCCAACCCTGGGGGGGAGGCTTCGGTTCAGCACGACCATACAGGACGACCAGGAGCCAGGAACCAGAGAGGAGGAGGAGGAGGAGGAGGAGGAGGAGGAGGAGGAGGAGGAGGAGGAGGGGGTGGAGGTGCGGGAGGCGAGGAAGAGGAGGAGGAGGTGGAGGAGGAGGAGGAGGAGGAGGAGAGGATGGGGGAGGAGGAGGAGGAGGATGAGGAGGAGGAGGAGGAGGGCGGAGGAGGGGAGGAGGAGGAGGAGGAGGAGGAGGACGAGGAGGAGGCGGAGGCGGAGGAGGAGGAGGAGAGAGGGGGATGAGGAGGAGGAGGAGGAGGAGGAGGAGGAAGGAGGGGGTGAGAAGGAGGAGGAAGGGGAGGAGGAGGAGGAGGCAGGAGGAGGAGGAGGAGGAGGAGGAGGTGGGGGAGGGAGGAGGAGGAGGGGGAGCTCTTCCTGCCCCCCCCCGCCCTCCAGACGCCCTCCGACCGCCTCGCCCCTTGTGCCCCTCGGGCGTCGTCGCCGCCTGGGCGTGCGCTCGCCCTCTGCCCCCCCAGGACAGGAAGAGGGACATCCTGCTGCGGGAGGCCTGCTGCGGGAGGAG